AAATTCAAGCATTCAAGCCTAAGGTGGAGGAAAGTGCAAAACCAAGGCTCTGAAAAAATTATACACCCCTGAAGCCAGGCGTGGTGGTGCATACCTGGAAAGCCAGCTACTCGGGAGGCTGAGGTTGAGGGTCCCTTGAGTTCAACCTGGGTAACCATAGAGAGATTCTCTGTCTTAAAAACAAACAAACAATCCTCCCTTGGTCCTAGAATTCTAAAGCTTTGAGATCACAATGGAAGGTTACCTTTGATTTTTAAAAAGTTGTATTAAGCTTTGGTGAAAGAGTTTAGAAAGTTGTAATTGTATAAGTGAACAAAGGGTAAGATTCTGGCATGGTGAGTGAAAATGTATTTTCTTAGTGGTAGTAGTAGACTTTCTATTTCCTCTTTCCCTGTGGTTGATATAATAAAACCCAACATCTGAGGGCCATTTGTATACAAGGTGCCATGATAGGCTGAAGGTTGGGTTTACTGGATTTTCATATTGTAATTCAGGAAGCTAGTGAGAAGTTAATATTAAGTAAGCATTGGAAAAAAGCTCTTTTGGTAAGCAGTTTTATAGAAGGCAAAAGAAGAATATGTTTTTAAAGAAAAATATAGATATTTTAAATATAGAAACTATAAGTTTTAAGTGCTGGCTCCAACTACTTCTCTCAATCCTGGTTACTGATGCTCATGAACCACATACTAGCTGGATAAGGACTCCTTTATTTTGGTTGAGAAAAGATGCCAAGACAGGCACCGTGGCCTGCACATGAAGGCTTGGCCCTGTCTGCAGGGCTCTGGGAGCTTATTATACTAGCTTTGGCCAACAGGAAGATGTTTGCAGCCCAACTATGGCATGTGAAAAAGTGGTAAATGCCTGGGAAAAAACACAAAGAGTTCAGGAAAATTTTGCATTCAGATCATTCAAACCAAAGCAAATAAACAAAAACCAAAGTAATAAAAAACAAAACAAAGAAAAAAACACCAGTTTTCCTTTGGCACCCTGAATGTACAATTATTGTAGTATGTCCTAAATGGTATCAACATGGTCTTGTTTCTTTCACTAATTCTGGAATTTTCCAACTATTGATAGGGACACACAATAAGAAATACATTTTCCAATCTTCTGTTACAATTCAGGGCATGCACATGGATTATACTAAAGCCAAAAATAAAAAAATTCATGCTAAAATAATTATCCTCGTTTGCCTTTATGTCAATATTTTATAGTTTGGTTTAGTCTGTTTTGATTTTTTTAAGTGTTATTTATGGCCCACCAAATTCATTTGACAGCTCACCAAGGGTCCATCATCTACAGTATGAACAATACACTGATGTAGAGTTTAAGTTTTTTATATACTGAGGACACAGCAGACTCAGACTTGTGGCAAACTCCCCAACAGTATTTGTGGAAGTGTACTGATCATCTAAGACAGTCATATTCAACTAGTGTGCTGCAGCAACTGGTATACCGGGAGGGGCTCTTAGGTGTGCCACAAAAAGTTTTAAAGATCATTAATTAAATTATTTTCAAAAGGAGTTCTCAGCACAGAAAGTATAGTCTTTAGTTTTTTTTTAAATTTGCATAATTTAAGTGTGCTATGGAAATTTAAGTATAGGTTCAATTGTGCTGTGAGATTAAAAACGGTTGAAAATCACTGGTCTAAGAGATTATCAGATTTCATTTGTTTGATAATTTTTTGAGTTAAAATGGAATAATTTGTAATTATTCAGAAATATAAAATGGATATCTCTAGGAGTCAGATGTGTTTATGATGAAAAAGACATGCCAGACTAACTTTATTTTATCTCAGTGGTTTAGAAGACCAGGGACATATTAAGGGCCTAGGATGTCAGCATTTCAGCACGGCAGCTGACAGACAGTATTGCGATTTGCTGTGCTTAGGATGGCTAACAGTGCTGGAGTTTTGTTGGTAAATGGTTGAGTAACTCCACCAAAATGTGTTACCAAAAGATATAAGCAACTGAGGGCGGGGTTCTGGAGGCATGACTCAAGGTTATGGCCATTTTAAGAATAATCTGGATGAGCCAGGTTTTTAAAGTGTAAAGATGGTATAAGGTTATCCAGTAAGGGATCTTTGAGGCTCAGTTTTCCCAGCTGTCAATAGAACCAAATGAGATGATACAGGAAAAAACACCATATAAACCTTGAAGTGACAGATTTAAACTAATTATCGCTGTTAGAGAATAGCAATGTAGAGATACATAAGGATCCTAACAGAATTGAAGAATGGCCTGTAAATTAGATGAAATTTCATAAAGTAAAATATAATGACCCTAACTTCAAAAGGCAACTATAGGACGGGCAGGGTTGACAGGACTTAGTCCAACAGCCTTTCATATTAAGATGTAAGCTCAGTGTGACTTAACCATGCCATATGGCTACCAAACAAAGACATTAACCTCAGGATCCCAAGACTTGGAAGGTCAGAGCCCATTGTATTCTGCACTGCTCACATATATGGGGAACAGCTGGCTCTAAGTACCGTATTTTACAAGGTACATTTCTGGAGAACAGGTCATCAGGATGGTCAATGATCTGGGAACCACAGCTTCCTGTGATGGATGATTGAAAGAACTAATAATTTGATCTAGAAATGAGGAACTCTAGACAATGTTACTCAAAGTGTGGTCAGGGGACTGCCAGTCTCCAAACCTTGTCTTTAATGAGTTAGAATATAGAAATTGAGAGTGAGAACTGTTTGCTCCCACCACTTGACAAGGCTGGTGATCAGCAGACTTGCCTTGCTGAACAGGGTAGAGACCAGTCTGGGTGCACACGAATTTGAACGGAGGGTCACACCTGCTGACAGCTGCATACTAGTGGTGCATGGTAGGCCCATGTTACAACATGTGCTAATCACGGTTCATTTACCTACTATAACCCCAAAGAATCCATTGTTTCATAGAAGGGTAATTTAATTTATAACTTTATAATTGTAGAGACTGGCTAGTGATAAAGGATCCAAGATAAATTTTAAAAATGAATATCACTTCATTTTGAATGAAAGTTACAAAGGAATATCCTAAGCTTTCAAATTACCTTAAAATCACTTCTTTCATTCGGTCAACAGTCAACATACTTTATAAGGTTTGTTTCTCTATGATACTTGGTATTTCAAGGAAATCAACCAAGCAAAGTCAATTTAGACCTTGTATATTTTAGATATACATTATTCCCTGCAAGGAATATTGTTGTGAATTCCACCTACATTAGATAACAAAGAAGAAACTGACTGTCACATTACAAATCTTAATAATCATAAAGAATTTATTTGAAGTGGGAATACGAGCATTTCAAGGCAAACTTTTTACTTCATTATGGTAGCAATAAAAACGGTATGAATATCAACCCTCATATACGTAAACTTTCAAGAAAACACATGAACATTTTTTGTAATTCTTTTCTATTTCCCATAGTATATATATATATATTTTTTGCAGTTTTTGGCTGGGGCTGGGTTTGAACCCACCACCTCCAGCATATGGGGCTGGCGTCCTACTCCTTTCAGCCATAGGCACCACCCCATAGTATTTGTTTTAATTACATTTATTGAAATACACTTTTGTGCCAGTGGATCCTAACAATAAAACATTAAGATGTGTATTTTCTATAATCTAAAAAAAATTACGTATCTTAATAATTCATGTGTACTAAATTTTACAAAAGTATCTTGGTCTGCGGCAGACAGGCAAGTGAAAATAAAACAAGAAAATGGCTCATTCACCATAGACAATTTGAGAAACTTTGAGCAGGGATAAGAAAACTTTTTAAACTTCTGTAAAGGGCAGGATAGTAAATATTTTAGGTTTATGGGCCATAAGGTCTCTACTCAACTCTGTCGCTGTCACAAGAAGAATAGATAAAGCTATGTTCTAGTAAAACGTTATTTACAAAACCAAGAACAGCAGTTTGCTGGCGCCTGCTTCCCAGGGCTGCCGTGTGAAAGTGGAAACCCATAATATGTGCTTCTCCAGAGGAAGTAGTGAGGATCAGATGGGCCATTTTAAACAGGTCAGCTTTTAGCTTATACGGAAGACTTTGCTAGTATATAGAATAAAATAGATTGCTTTGACATGGAAAGCACTGATGATGCAGAGGCTGGCTGAGCTGTGAGGGATCGTCTGAGAAGTCGATCCTGCAGTCGGTGGGCGGGGAGTCGGAAAACATGACCCAAGATCCAACTCAAAGATCCTACGCTTCCAGAACATTCATTTATAATTATCTTCAATTTATGACTGTTAAGACTTTCTGGCCAAGTGAATGATGGAATAAAATGTAGTTTTTCTCTAGTTTGACTCAGCTGTTTGAAGCTGCCTGGAAGTGTCTTATTTGGTGGGAGATGCTGGTGTGTGCAAGGCAGTGGGCGTCTGGGGTGGAAGCCGGGCCCCTTGTCAACAGCTGCAGCACCTCTGAAATGCCAGGAGGTGCCGGCTGCTAGGTGGCAATTAGTCACGGTGTCTGTGTTTCTTTCCACCCTGGGTCATGATTTCAGAGAGCCTCGTTAAAATTGTAAATTTAAACAAGACCTTCTTGGGAAGCTGCTCTTTCTCTCTTGGGAAATCTTCTTAGGTAAGAGTCCCATGTGGGTACGTGTCCTTCTTTCTCCTCATTTAATAGAGAGACTTAGGGGAGTCTCCAGTCTCTGACTTTTACTTTGAAAAGAAGTCATTATCACACAAACACTAACCATCATCAGGGGATTTCAATGTCATCATGAAACAAACGTGAGTTTTGTAGGTAATGAAGAACTGTTTTTTCTGAGAACAAGCAGCTTTATGTGTACGTTGGAGTTTTTAATTTAGATGAGGCTTCAACATTTGTTTTTTTTTCCTAAAAATGAGAACATTACTCACTGAAATTATATATTCCTCAGAAACAGATGCCAACCAGACATTCCAAAAAAAAGTGTTTGTTTTTTTTTGTTTTTTTTAACGGAGCTTGGCCATATCTTTATACTGGAAACAGGAGCCCACACAGATCCACAGCTGCAAAAGGTGGCTTATCCACAGTTACACAGTCATTTAGAAGTTCGCTGGAGTTAACAGTGGCTGAGCCTGCCTGTTGGTGAACAGGAATGGGCCCCCTGGAATGCTGCAGGGATGACAAACACCAGCCATAGGAGGCAGAACTTCTGTGTCCTCATGCTCCCCCCAGATGCCTCTTGGCCAAGTTTTAGTCTTCTAGTGAAGTGTGTGGCCAAGATGGAGAATGCTCTTCCCTGACTCCCACAGAGGAAGAAGGTAACCTCACACATGAAGGGAATCTTGAATACTAAAAGGACCGCTCTTCTCTTCCACAAAACCATTAGGAATTACCTTGTGGGAGGACAGGTGCAAAGTCATTTCTCCAGGTGCTTTACAAGTGGCATCTAAAGTACAAGGAAAGCGCCTGTCTACTCAGGTATGAAGAAGGCGCCACTGTCTTCACCTGTTTGTGGATTTTTTGCTTTGTTCCTTGGGTCAGCCCATCCATATCTTCAGAATTAAATAAAATGCTTACGAAGATAATAAATGAATTATAGGCTTTAGTAAAGATGGCAATAACACCCCTTTTGCAAAAATGATACCATCAGTGAATGACCTGAATGTATTGTGAGGAAACACGAGCCCCTCCCAGGTCAGAAGAAGGGCCAGCTGGCTCAGGCTGCAGGCGGTGTCTGAATAGCTCTGAAACACGAGGAGGGGGTAGTGTGGTGCCAGAGTACCTGGATTCAAGTCATGCCCCAGCTATTTCTCACGTCTCACGGCTCTGGGCAAGTGTCTGTGCCCTTCAGTTTCTGGAGTTAATGACTGGAGTTGTGCCTGGTGGAGAGGAAGCCTGGTGCCAGTGTTTGTCAACCACCAAACTGCTGAGCAAGACACATAGCCCTTCTCTGGGCCCCAAGGGGAGAAGAATAATTGTGACCCCAGACAGTTAACACCACTGGGACAACTTTCTGCAGAATTAAACAAGTCTGGGCCTCTGCAGATTGGAGATGAGGATTCCATTTTTTACATCACTTCAAATGGGGACATACCTACAGGAAATGCTGTTGTCATATTTTTGTTTCAAATAAATGAATTTCAAAATGTACTGAAACTTCCTCGGGTGCTTGGTTCTCAAGTTTCTCTTTCTATTTTTGATCATCTGGCTTAAGCTCATTGGCTATTCATTTTTCTTTTCTTTTCTTCTTCTTCTTTTTTTTTTGCAACAAAATAAAGGGCGAGCCTATGACTTGTGAAAGGTGCAGATCACAGAAACAGGTGTTACCACACAGCCTCTCTTGTGTCATCGCTTAGCTCTGGCCATGCACACTGGTTATTATTGAGATACACTGGGTGATGAGCATACGCTGGAATTATTTATAAGAAAATTCAGGCCATATCTCTCCAATATGCAACGTAAAAAGCAATATTTTATCAAAATGCATGCATTCCTGAGGCCTATTGCTAAGTAGGGGCGATCAGGGTGTGTGCCACTGGATCTGACATGGGGTCCATTAAGAAGGTCGGGGTACCAAAGTGACCCGTTTTCAGAGGTGCTTTTGTGAAGGAAAAGCATATTGTTACTTAAGCCTATCTCACCTGTGAGTTTTGAAAAGGTGGTGACAGGGTAAAAGTCTAATCACTCCACTTTGCGGAAAACAATGCATGTCATTAGTTTGGGGCATTTTCTTTTGTTATACGCTGCAGCTAAATGGTCAGTACAGGCAGCTGTACAGACCGGCCATTTGAGCGCCCACACTTCAGACACACAGGCATGGCTGTGTTCAGTTTAATAAGAACCATATGTTCCAATCAAAACAACATCTGACCCTCATGCTTCAAATCATATGTATGCTTCTCAAGGGGTCTATTCAGCCAGACAGCTGTTGGGAGTTTATTCCCACATTTTTAATTTGTCTTTGGACTGGACAAATTGCTCATGTTTTAATATTTCTGGATATTGTTTTCCATCCTTTTACCTCCTTAGTTTAGAATATTTCATTCCTAGATCAAATCCAATTTTTTTCCTTAAGGTGAGGCCCACCAAAAATTCATTTGAATTTTTTTTGGGGGGAGATGCTATTTTAGAGCAGAAATTCAGGTTAAAGTTATTTTTAAGGATTAGGTTACCCAGAAGTAACTTAAAATCCATTGGATTTAGTGATTTCTCTATGTCGACCAGAATAAAGAAATCTTTCTTTCGACTCAAAGATGTTTTTTTTGCTCCTTAAAAATATACTGGGGCTTGACTTTTTTACATAGTAGAGATGTTAAATAAAAAAAGTAGTTAACGAACATACATTTAAATTTCCTAAAAAGGCCCAATTCAGTGAGAAAGGGAGGCAGAACAGCATGGTGGATAGGGGCCTAAGGTTCATATTTAGACACACCTGAGGTTGAAACTCTGCTCTCTCACTGGCCAAAGATTGTGGGAAAACGACCTGGCCAGTTCAAGGTTTATCTAGAGGTTCAAGGTTTATCTTTCCTTATCTAGAAAACAGAGAAGCCCTATGTGGATTAAGTAAGATCATGTACGGAGGTGCTCAATAAAGCACAGCTTTATTTGAAAACTGAAATCTTCAGTCTTATTCATACAGAAGGAATAGCACAACACATCAAAGCACTATAAGGAGGAGAGAGATCAGTGCCTTTCCAAAATAAACTGAATTCTTTATGGTGAGAGAAAAGTGCAAGGGGGGAGAACAGTGAAAGATGAGGCCACCTCCCTCATGCCGTTAGCAAATAAACCTGCCTGGGAACGACGCATCTTTGACATGTGCTTGAAATCACAGTAGTTACTGGAAAGAAAGAAGCAGAAGACACTTGCCATGGACCCAGACATCCTTTCTCAACTTTTTTAATTAAGCAACTCATCTTCGTGAAGTATTTGAGCCTAATATAGTATTGACATTTATAATTAAAAAATTCTGAAAGATTACCACAAAAAATAGAGACAAGCATTTTACATCTTTATGGAAACTCTCTGATCAAAAAAAAAAAAAACTAAACTAAAGCAAGATGAAACTGTGAAATGAACAGATCTCAGCTTGGGTCTATAATGAACTTCTTTAGGAGAGCTGTGAGAAGAAGGGCTATTTGGAACGCAAACACGGGTGGTCAGGCATTCCAGAAATTTGCCTAGACCCACGCTGGTCTCCAGGTGTGAACTTGAGTTGCTTCTGTTGGTCCAGCCTCAGGCTTGGTAAGGTAGGGACACCTACCTTTTTCCTTTGGAAGTTCACATCAAGTTTCATCGAGGCACACTTGTTTAACGTATTTAGCCGTCTAAAATGAAAGAAAAATGGGTGATTACTACCACCAGTAAACATAAATCTTCCTTCCAGTTTAATAATTCTCCTTTATTTTCTCCAGTAAAGCTGAAAGTACAGAAACAGCTAACTATGTCCCAAGTCAGAAGAGAGGTGCTATAAAATAGTTTCCATTTGTGCTCTAGCCTCCTGATCTGGGAGGATTCTACCATCAAGCCTATCCATCT